ATTTCCTTCTTCGGTTATCATTTCTGTCAACGGTGCTAAGCGATACGCAACAACGCCAAATAATGACAGTCATGTCAAGTGCTGACCATGTCGTACAACCACAGGAGCCCTCCGCCCTCTCAACTAGATCATAGTGCTGAGGTTCATGGCCAAGATTCAGCCCTGAAAATAAGACTCGCACTAATCCTGCAGCTAGGCCCGCCAAGGGTAGGGTTCCTCATTTCTGCACACACGCGCACACATAAAACACAACGACTACGCATGGCAAGCATTAGACAGTTGGAGTAATGAGATGCCCGTTCACCACAACTATGGAATTTGGCTGGAAGGTATCTTTTTGGTAATTCATTCATGTGATCCTGTTTACGGACCTTTCCTTTCCTTTCCTCGAAACTCCAAACCCAATGCCAAGGTTAACAATCCTCAAATGCCCGTAACCTGATGAGATAAAGCAACTTTTTTACTCCTGCTGGAGAAGCTCCTGGATACGCTCCTGTACGCGCTGCTCCTTCTCCTCCTTGGTGAGCTTCTTGGTCTTGTACTTCTTGGAGATCTCCTTCCACTCCTCCTTGGTCTTCTTGGGAGCATCGCTCTCGGCCTTCTTGAAGGGGTCCTCGCGGATGGCGGCGTGGGCCTCAGTGTAGAGGTCCTCAAGACCCTCAGCCTCGACGTCGTCGTCGACGTACTTCTGGAACTGACTGCGGAAACGCTCCTCATCGTCGTCGGCGAGGGTCTCCATGTACTCAGCAACGTGGCCACCGAAGATGTAGTTTCGGAGGGTGTCGGCATCGAGCTCCTTGGTCTCCATGTCGTAACCGGGGAATCGCTTCTCGGAGTGAGGGACAAGGATACCACCGTCAGAGGCGCCCTTCATGGCACCGAAGACACGGGCACCAGTGGAGGTTCGCTTCAGACCAACATCGAGGAAGACCTTGAAGGGGCGGCGCTCGCCATCATCGGTCTCGGCGGCCTCGGTGAGCTTGAACTCACCGTCAGCCTCCTCGACACCAGTGAAATCCTCGTCGAGACCGAGCTTCTTGAGGGCACGGCGGGCGATGAGGAGACCGGTAGCGTAGGCGGCGGCCCAGTTGGTGAGACCGTGCTCGATACCGTAGGCCTTGAGCTCGTGCGAGTAGGCAGAGACGAAGACCTTGTCGCCAGAGATCTCAGAGGTCACGATCTGGCAGATGATGTCCTTGTTGGTGAAGCGGACGACCAGGCGGTACTTGGGAGCATTGTACTTGTTCTTGGCCTGGGTGATGAGGCGCTTTCGGGCGTAGTAATCGGTCTTGCCCTGCTGGCGGCGCTTGTACTTGGTCTGGTAGCGGCTACGAGGGTGTCAGCAATTTCTCAAGGTGGAGAGGAACCTCAGTGTGAACTCACCTGTAGTACGCGCTGTTCTTCACCAACTTGTGGAAAACCTGTCACAAAATCCCCGAGTCAGCAATTTGCGCTTCAGATGCTCTTCTCCTTCCGAAGCAACTTGCGGTGACTCTTTCAGAGCAATTGGCATTTCTGCCATAAAAGAAAAAAACACCAAGGGAATTCTTCGGCGAAGATATTCCCTTGCGATAGGCCTCAACTTACCATCTTGACGGTATTTGCTCAACGACGACTTGAGTGTTGAAGTTTGGAAAGTTGGTGCTGAGAGGAATAAGCCGTAAATTCTCAATGGTGGGGGATATAGCCCTAATACATCGCTTAGCTTCATTTGCTCCAGTTTGGACCTGGGTTGGGGACGAGGATGGTTAGGTAGTCACGTGTCTGGAGGCTCTTATCTTATCTTATCCTATCTTATCTCCCCCAGACGCCAACCTAGATGGGGGATCTGCCGAGGCTCCTCGGATACCCCAAGCCTCGGTGGAGTCGTTGTTGGGATAGAAGATGGCAAGAATACGTCGAGTAGTAGTTGGATGGTTGAGTTCTTACATATTCTAGAGACTTGTATTCATTGTTTGGTCGCGTACATACAAGCCTAGTCCTTTCCATCTGTCAAGCCGGGTATAATGTCAGAGTCTAAGCCCAAAGTCCTGTTGTTCGATATAGGGGGTGTTTGTGTAAGTGATTCGAGACATGATGTTTACCGCCGATTGTCCTCGCCTTGGTTCTGGAAATGTAGTCAACTATCCCACATACATGGTTACTGACTCCTCCAGGTCGTTTCTCCTTTCCAAGCAATCCTCGACTATGAATTAAGCCTGGGGATCCCTCCAGGGTGGGTCAACTATTCAATATCCAGGACTGCTCCAAATGGCTTCTGGCATCGTTTGGAAAAAGGAGAAATCGAGATGAATGAAGAGTTCTTCAGGGGCTTCAGCCAAGACCTTCATGATCCCGTCAGATGGGAAACCTTCTATGAGCGAGAGCAAAGTAAAACCCCCGGTCTCCCAAAGGAAACCCCTCCCGTTCCCTCAATCGATGCAGAATGGCTTTTCAACGAGATGATGACCGTTTCTAACAACCCTGACCCATGGATGTTCCCAGCATTGGGAAAGTTGAAGGAGGATGGGCGATTCATTCTCGCAGCGCTGAGCAATACCGTCATCTTTCCGCCAGGGCATAAGCTCCACCTGGACCATTTCTTTGACGAGCCTGTGCGGCAGATATTTGATGTCTTCATTTCTTCCGCCCATGTTGGAATGCGAAAGCCAGATCCGGCCATTTATAAGCTGGCGCTCGACCGAGTAAACGAATTCGCGAAAGCCAATGCTCAGTCAGCTCGGGGGAAAAGCTTGAACTGGGAGGCTGGTATCAAGGCAGAGGAAGTAATTTTTCTCGATGATATCGGAGAGAATCTGAAGGAGGCACGCAGGCAAGGACTGCGAACAATAAAGGTGAATCTTGGCCGTGCATTCAAGGCTGTGGATGAGCTGGAGAGAGTGACTGGACTGAAGCTCGCTGGTGATCATCCAAGGATATCCATTCAAGGGAAGGCTCAGAAAGTCAAGGCAAAAATGTGAGATAGATTTGGGAATATTCAAAACACTCGCATATCAAACCTTCCTGGCGATATAGACGTAGAGAATATCAGATACCTCGACCTTGCCATCAACTGCAGCATTGTGCCACTCTTCCTTGAAATATTCCCTCCCTTTAACCCTCAACTCTTCCGTTACAATTGAGGCAGTCAGAGGGCCATTGACAACGTAGTCAAACTGCTCGTCTGCCTTGTCAAGATCGAGATACGTCGAGCCAAGTCCAACAATCTTTTCCAAAGTCCCAACCCTTTCAACAACGAAACCACAACTTTCCAATATCTCACTAAAGGACTCTTTAGATTTGATCCAGGTTCGGTTGGAGGGGAATGGCATGCCCAGTCGGCGAGCGACTTTCTCTAATAGCAGGCCTGAGCGAAGGTTATACTCATGAGTGATATCGATCGCAATTCTGCCGCCTGGCTTGAGATACTCCCACCAATGGGCGACAACTTCCTTTGGGTTTTCGAACAGAACAAAGGCGCTTGAGCATAAAATGAGATCGAAGCTGCCCCTATCGACATTTGGGCAGCCAGTCAAGTCAGTGACGTTGTGTCGCACAAGTCTTATGCGGTGATGCAATGTTTCGTCGTGATCCAGCTTCTTGCGTGCTTCCGAGAGCATCGCTTCAGTTATATCGACACCAACGACAATCCCGTCATCGCCGACGTGTCTTGCGGCAATGACAGCCTCCAGGCCAGTTCCACAGGCGAGGTCGAGAACGCGATCGCCGGGTTTGATGGAAACAAGTTCCATGAATCGCTTGCTGTAGTCAGGATGCCAAGAATCCTCATAGTTGGTTGCTCGTTCAGTGTACATGCGCTGAGCGGCATCTGATTGACTTTCTGTCGGAGGCATGACGAGTCTTTGTAATCAAGATTGTGAAAGTATCAGCCAATACAGCTTTAATAGTGCCTAGTGATAAGTTTGTCGGGCGATGCAACTGATGGGGCTATCTTTGTGCTTCTGAGAGTCAGTTGTGAGATGTATTCTTGGTTGATAGCTTGGGGCCGGGGTGTTTTTACACCGATGACTGTTGTATGAGTAAGGTACTAAGTCTAGTATTCTCGTTGATTGGCTCCTCATCACCTCTCAATTTGCCCAGTACAACCGCGAATCGCTATAATTCAGCTACAGAAACAACTCACCTCCATATCAACTCCCTCCAAGTCATTCATAGATTTGATGATTCAATCTAGGTCGCTTCTGCAGAAGTGACGCCATGCTACGGAAGCTATACCCACCCACGACTCGCAACGGCCCGTCCGCGTGGCTGTGATGCCATGCCACTTCACCACTGAAGAACGCCCCATGAGTGGTATTGCGCATTTGAGAAACACCAATTTTAGAGAGGGAACTAGGACTGAATTTGACTCGAGGCGCCCTCGGATGCCTCGTGACCCTTGATGATACGACTCGCAGGGGGGCGCAGAGGTTTCGAGACAAGGGTATTTAGAACCAACTGCATAAACTAGTCAGTATCTGTCAACATCTACCTATCCCTTGGAATGGCACACTCAGACTTGAGGCAGCCGTCCACTGACGCCTCAGCAATGATTCGGGCCAAGATAGAGGTCAGTATGTCAGTGATGGTCTTGCCTTGGGTGAATGGCATCGTTACCACTGAGTGAGTGTATGTAAGTAAGTGAGGTCGATAATCAGACCATCACAGACAGAAAGAACTATATAAGGGAAAACAATAGATTATAACTCTTCTCACCAAGACCATCATATCATCCAACGTCTTTCTACTCAGACTCCACCCAGCTGAAGTCCTCCCCGGCCTGTTTTCACGACCACGGTCTGTGAGGCAGACACATCGTGCAGTAGTAGAAACCTTGGAGGCCCTCCTCGCAGACACTGCCCCCAAAGGGCGCGGGCGCCTAGAGATACCCTCATCAAGTTATATATCCTCAGTCCTACCTGCGCTGCAAGCATCATGTTGGCATAGAAACCATCCCCAGCCTTTCCTTCTCGCAGCTCGATCCCAGTGAACTGGAAGCTCAGCTTCTGGACTTGTCCAATATGACCCCTACCACTTCCCAGATTTCTTGGCCAACTACTACTGCCTCCCTCTGCGAGCTACTCAATATCGATACTGACGTGAAAAAATGCCATGCCTCGACACAGAAGAAGGCTCGTTGCCAGCACCCAGTCAGCAAAGCCAACTCGGCTCATATCGCTTGTCTCTTGGAGAAAGCAGTCGCTCAAGGAAGCTTTTCTGCTGCTCAGGCTACACTCCAAGAAGTCTCTTACTTGATCATGTGTTGTTATAAACATCGAGATAAGGGCCCCCCTCGTTTGTCAGAGTGGGAGACAGTCCTCAAGCCCCTTAAAGTGGTGCATATCAAGAATGAAGACAAGGAAGATACTCTCAAAACCGAGAAAGAAACAGATAATACATCACCAACCACTCCTGTTATTTCATCGCAAAAACAGATTCCACTCAAGGGCAATACATCTATAACTACTTCAACTCATCGTCGTCGCAGATCCCAGTCGTCCCCTTCTACTCCAACAAAACCGTCCCCAAAGCTTTTACTACCCAAATTACCTTCACCTAAGAGTCCCAAAGCGCCACATGAGTTCGAGGACTTCTCCCGTCCCCGGTCGACCCTAGAAATCAATAAAGCGATAAAGAAGCGACTTCTTAAACCCTTGACCGAATGGGAGACAAAGAATGGAGGCTACATCTACCTCTATACCTTTCCTGAGAGTTACCACGACGCACATCCCTATATCAAGATAGGCTTTTCTCAAGACGTCAGTAAGCGTATGCGAGATTGGAAAGACCAGTGCAGCTACGAAGCAAAAGTGCTCGGTGAGTTTCCGGCCGAGCACTACGTCAAGGTTGAGAGAATTGTACATGCTCAGCTCTGGAACCAGAGGAAGCGAGAAAAAGCATGCCCAGCTTGCAACGTTCGCCACAATGAGTGGTTCAAGGTAGACGCTATGACTGCCTCAAAGACCATTGCCTTATGGACTGGCTGGATGAGGCGAGAGCCATATGATGAAGAGGGCAACATCCTGGATAAATGGCGTATCAGGATTGAGGGCCTTGACATGGCTAATCCTGATTGTTGGGACTTGCTAGTCAAGGGGCTTTTCGATGATGATGTCGAAGAGTCTGAGCTGTCCGAAGGAGATAGCTTTGCGTGGTCAAGTGATGAACAGTCCGAGATCTCTGAGGAAGATGCTCTTGGAGGTTATGAAACTGACAAACCTGAGTTTACTTTGACTGACGATGAATCTGACGATGAGGCATATGTGGAAGATGATGAGCGATAGAGTCATGGTATTGCAGGACATTTGGCACGATTGTAAGATATGGATGGCGAATATTGGCATTTTCTAGGAGTCATGATGGTATTTTCTAAAGCTTTTTCTGATATTAAATATGATACCCTGCAATCCCGATGCTCACTTCAACCGCCTCTCGCCCATGCATTAATGAGATCATATGCACGTCTTCAGGGCCCGGTCGTTGATAAAGGGCAGTGGCTCCAGTAAACAAATCAATCAGGGATTTCAGATCTCCCATGGCATCTCTTCCAAGAGTCCTAGAGACCAAGTCGGTCTCAGTGCATCCTGATATGTATCTTCCCCAACTTCTACCCACGACCCCTGGAATCTGGACTCGAGCCAGCATTTTAGCCAACGTATTTCCTTTACTAGTTTTGACATACTAGCCATCTCGTTCGGGGACTCTTCCTCAAGTGTTGAAAAGACAAATCGTTTCACCTCTGCCCTGCGCAACCGTGTGGCTTCTTCATAACATGATACCATTTGATCTAGTATGTTGGTGAGATCCAACGTCTGTCGAATAGACTGAGTATCCCAGTCAGGAATCTCAACGAGAAGTAGCTTTGCAGCTTGTAACATGACATAGAGAATTTGATCGTGTGTAAGTATTGAACGGCGCAATAGCAGATCAACGGGCGAGGCAAGAAGAATGTCGAAAAAAGACTGCATTGCGTCAAGGCAGTTGCTTAAGCATGTCAGAAGATAGACGAATTGAGGAACGCCCTCATCAGGGTGGCATGCCACGATAATTGCTGGCTCAAAGAGACGCACTAGAAGATACAAACGGTAAAGCTCAAACGCTTGGCCGTATGTTTCAACATTGCCATTAGGGACTGACTCTGCTAGACGACTCAGGTCGTTGCGAAAACGACTTCCAGTTCCTTCGAGAAGGACAGCATATGGGCTAAACAGCGTACGCTCATGTGGCTCGCCAAAGCTTCTTGAAAGTCTTTCGCCCATCTGAACGAACCGAACGACATACTCTATTGAACGATCAGATGGGGTTGCCTGTGCTTGGGAGACAATCTTGAGATAAGTTTCCATGTTGGGTATGTCGAGAGGATTTCTTCGCGATTGTCTCGTTGAGATACTGGAAGCCTTTGTTAGATTAACGAAAATGAAAATTACTGGCTACTGGTTACTGGTAGACTCACATTGAGAGAACGCAATAAAGCCCAAGAAGAGCCCGTATTTCCTCCAAGAGGTGTGTCGTTTGTTCCTTGTCAGATGTTCCTGAGCTGATTGTTTGAGCCGATGACATGTCTTGTGTGATACCCAGGTTATGTGCATAGCCAAGAGCAAGATACGCCAGGTTGATGACCTGACTATTGTCGATGTGACATCTGTGAGCCCTATGGATCATGAGCATGAATCTGTTTCACCAGCATTATATCCACTTACCAAGCAGCAATCACCAGTACGCCCTGTAGTATGTCCAAGGCCGTGTCTTCTTCGACCATTACTCTGAAGCTCAGATATGCGAGTATGTTGCGTCTCGCTTTGGCCACCTCGGCTTCAGATAATGGCGCCGCGACAATCATGATAGCACGAAATAGAAATGGACTGCTTTGGTGCAGTGATTCTGCAGTGTGATGACTCTCGACTGTCACGAAGGGGAACTGGGAGGTGAACTCTTCATGGAAGAGCCTAAGAACTTGAGCTGCTTGTGGCCATGATAGCCCAAATGGAGGCTGCGAAGTGCCCCTATCTGCCTTTGCATTTGCCTGGGTTGGGTTCCTGGAAGACTTATCATATCCCAGTTCTTCCTGGTTGCTATCGCTGTCTCGGCCTGGCTGCTTTGCTCGGTTTCTATGGCTTAACATAGCAAACTCTTGCGAACTCTTTGTTCCCACAGCAATGACTTGTTCTTGCTCTTCGGAAGTTATAATGTTCATGGCAATCAGCTTTACGTCTCATACAAGTTCACGTCATCATACCCGTTTATGTGGTTAATTCTCCGGGGTCTTCTCAGGCTCCTCGTATCCTGTGGGGAGCAGTCCTTCTTCATAGTCTCACACCTTCATCTGTTACTATGAAACAATCATAGGAATAGACTGAGAGATATAGTACCTATCGCAAATATGCTTCTCCAGATTCCCTTCCCGGAAGTTACATTTTGCTTTGACTCTCGCGCAAGGAGCGCACGCTCGTTGCCGGCGAGGAGGACTGGGATTTCTGTCGACCATGGTGAAACTGATTAATGACAATTGAATTCGAGTAGCTCCAGGCCAACTTGAAATCCTGAGCTTCAAGTCAGCTCGCTCGTCGTTCACAGAAGCCGTCTATCATTACTGTATCTTACAGTGGCGCAACCGGGATTAAGATTGGCCCGAAAATGCTCCAGCGGGATAGAGTACTGCGTTACCTTAATATCTACGTACCTACTAGTTAGGTAGTCAAAGGTAAGTAAGTAGGTAGACTTCAACCATTTTCACAGAGTCCCATATCATCCTTTCTGTTAGGAAAGAATGGTGACGAATGAGATTTATACGCCATCGACGAAGCGCTTAATTGAATGGCAATCTTAATCAGTTTCATATACACACGGACATATATTTTTAACGAGTAATAGGTGCGCCTCTCGCCTTTAGAGATGGATGAGTGGCCCCCCTAACCATCCAGCTCTGGATTGTTGCGGCCAGACC